GTAAAGTATTTTTGGATTCCTAGCTGTTTCTGGTTATACTGATAACCTGTGAATTATAACTTTTTTTCTTCTCTGCAAGCTGCTGTGTTTAGGGAATAAATACACTTTAAAGGACTCTTCATCTGCATACCTCTCAAAAGTAGCATTCTTCTTGTTTTGGTGTAACAGAGATTTTACTCCCTTTGACCCCAGTTAACGTGGGAAACGTCACCTCTAAACTCAGTAATTTGTAGGGAGATTTTGCAAAGATCAGCTGGCCGAGATACCGCAGTGACGACAGCGTCTCTTAATTGCTTACTTATCTGGTATTTCTAATTGAAAAGATAACGAAGTATACTTTGCCCCTATGAGAATACTTTAGGGCCCCCTCCTGCATTTTGCAGAATTGCCTCACTTTTCACCCAGACTGGGACACGTAGCAGAGGCGTTCAAGGATGAGTGGTTTTGCAGAATCCCCTCGAAGCCTAGTGCTGGCATCTTCAGCAGCTGCAGGAGAAGCTGTCGGGGAACGTAGGCTTGGGACAAATCTGGGAAAAGAGGAGGTGTCATTAAACCTATTTTAGGTAGGGAAGGCAAAGAATCTCCAGGCTTGGGAATAATTTGGGTCTCTTGAGTGTGTGTTGTACCTGTAAGACCAGTAGCTGAAACGGGCTGCGCCACGCTTTCCGTACGGGATTCTCTTACACTAGGCAATATGTCTTTCAGGGATAAATTTTATGCAAAAACTCCCCCTTAATTCTGGCTGTTGAAAAAGATACATTCTCTCCTTCGTGCAGGCCAGGGCTGTTCAACACATGAACTTTGTCAAAGGGCGTTGGGAAGGCTCCTTGCCAAAGATTTCAATTCTGCTCTGGGTTGTAGAACTGTCTTTTACTGTTGTTACTGTTACCGTGGTGGCAGGGCTTGACCCTGTTGCTCTGGGAACATGTGGAATTCTGTACTTCATGATGATGGAAAAGTAAAGATCTTTCAGTACTTTTTTGTGGGTTTAGGAACTGGAGTACAGATATCAGTTTGATTTAAATTTGGCTGTTTGTTTGGGTTGACATTTGGATTTACTGGGTATTTTTGAGGGGTGAAATTTTGGTCCTGTGGGTCTAAATGGGAAAGACACGATGAAGAAATGGGTTCTGAAAGATAGATTTGAAGGAGAAGGAAGGGGCTTGGAGTGTACAGGCGGCTAGAGGCTTGTTGAGCATGAGACTCATGAAGTTGAGTGCAGAATCTTGGAAGGAGCAGTTAGAGGGAATGGGCTGTGATGAAGAGCCTCAGGAGGGAAGTGCTTTTGATCGTAGTGCGTAAGAGCGTGTGATCCAGAGGAGCTCAGTGAGCTTTAAATCATCAGGTTCCCTCCCGTAATAAGAGCTGTGATGTTGCTTCAGGACCTGCAGGGAACACCAGTGATCTGGTGTGTGCATCCTGTGGGTATGGTCCAGTTAAAAATGTGTACAATATGGCAGATAAAAAGTCAAATATGTGGTTTAGGAAAGAAAATATCTGACAAGTGTCTCAGCACTTAAAGTCTGTGTCCATTGCAACTGTTGATACTTGGTTATTTGAGAGGAATCCTAGCAGCTTGTCCCAGTTTGGGCTCTAGTTTTGGAACCAGTCACTGCTTTAGGCTGAAGACCTGCCTTGGTGGCTGTTCAGAATCCACGTTAGCATGGAAGTGGAGTTAGCCAGGGAGTAGGGAGAGGGCTGGCTTTGGGGTTTGTTCTGCATCCTTTATTTAATTTCCTGAAATACTTAGGCTCAGTGCTTTGTCAGAGAGGAGTTGTGTGTTTTGTTTTTTTTTTATTTTATTTATAGGTTGAAGCACTGATTTCTGGCAGTGTCTGCATTCAAACCAATGGTTCTGTCTCTTTAAAATCACAGGCAAAAACTGTCTCTGAATGAGTCCAGATTGCTGCCTCCCAGTGCCTCTTACCCCGAGACATAGTGAACCATTTACTCCAGCTGCAGAATTCTGCGCTGCTTGCTGGGCTACATGTGTGCTTGTTCTTTCTCTCTGCCTTTTTGCGAAATGGGTTGCAAGGGCAGCTCTAAAACTGGAGCAGATCTTAGGGATGCTTCAGCTGGCTTGAGCCTTCCCACCCACAGCAGATACACATCCACATCAGCGTTTCTATATTTACAAAACATCAAACCCAAATTGATGATGAGCTGCCCTCTCTCCACACCCTTTACAGGCCTAATCTGGAGGGGGAAGAAAAAAAAAAATAAAAATCCTTTCTCAAGGGGGTGTGTGTGTGTGCTGCAGTCTCCTTAAGGCTGCCTTTCAAACGAGCCGGCTCATGCATCGCCGCCGTCGGGATAAACTGCCACGTCACCGATAGCACTTGGCATGTTCCAGTGCTGGGATCAATGCAGGCTCCTCGCTGCGATGTGCGTCAGGTATGTGTCTGCAAGGAAAGCCTTTTTGCTTGGAGGCTGGAACAGGAGAGAGCCGTGCAGGCTGTGCTTTTGTCTAGCAGCAGGCCCAGGGTCTAAAGAGGGGGATGGTTTTCCTACAATATTTGCCATTTAGGTCCTGAGTAGTGTTGCATTTAGGAAACGAGCTTTGTAGCGTGCGTGCGTGTTTGACGGTAAGTATTTTGTCAGTGCCACATCCTTCTGTGGCGTGTTTTTGTAGGGATGTTGCAGCAAATCCATTGATTTCGTAGCAGTGAATTCGGCTGGCAGAAGGCACGATGAATATTTTTAACCAGTGCTGAAGCTGCTCCTCTGACATCAAGCTGTGTGTAGCTGTAGGGTTTGTTTTGTTGTAGCTACAGTGGTCAGGAACTGTTTGGATTGGGGGCTGTAGGTGAGATTTGTTTGGAGCACAGGCAAATATTTGGGAAACAGTCTTCACAAAAACTGAAAAACAAAATCTCAGTTATACTGTCTATAAATTTTAATCTCGAGTCAGGATCAAAACCTGAGGAATTCTAAGGGAACTGCAGATTGTGCAAGTGGTTTATTTTGTTAATCTCGAGTCAGGATCAAAACCTGAGGAAATCTAAGGGAACTGTAGATTGTGCAAGTGGTTTATTTTCAAAATCATGGAATATACCATTTTCTACATGAAATACGTATCCATTGGAGTCACTGAGTGGCTGTTGGGTTTTGCTGGTCTTGTGTAGTGATGACCAGAAGAGAAAGTGACCCCAGATTTTATCAAGCAGAGTGTGTTGGTTCCCAGTTCTCTACCCTTACGATGGCTTGTTTGGAACTGGTGAGGTGGTGGGTTTGTGTAGCCTCCGTGCAGAGCTGAAGGGAAGTAGGAGCCTGGAGAACCTGGGAGGGCAGACTTCCACGGCCGGAGTCGTGTGGGGCTGTGGGAGGGTGGGATGCCGGGATCGCTCGGGCAGGGAGCGAGGATCCGTACCACTCCTGGGTGAGGATGCGGCGGGAGGGAGGTCTCAGAAGATGGAGCCGGTGCTGGAAGTATTTCAAGACAAGTTGCTTTTTCTTACATGCTTCTGTTTGAAACTGAATTAAATGGGACATTCCTGGTGTACTTCCTAATTGGGTAGCTTGAGTCGTTCTCCAAAGAGGAACAAAGGCTGATGGGTGACAGAGGCGTTGAGTTGTTGGGCAGATATGTGATGTTGGGGTTTGTTTGTTTGTTTAAACTCTGCTCTTTTCCTGGTATCTCTTATCTCTGCTGTCTGGTGGAGAGATGTATTTCCACCGTGCCTGTCACCTTCACTGCCACAGTGCGTCGCTGTCTCTTTACCCTTCTGCTGACGATGCTCGGAGCCGTTGGATCCGCAGGGAATTGTTTGCCTGCACTTTGTCAGACACACGGCACTCGCTGCCGGTCATCGCTCGTGTCGCCGGGACTATTCTTAGTTCCCTGGCTCCTGCAGTGGCTTCACCTCGCCCTTCAGGGCTCAGGCTTCCATACTGTCATCGCGTTCATATGACACTTTTCCTCTGGGAACGCGTTCCTTTCTCTGAGTGCTCCCCTCCTGGGTGACTGCGTGGCTTTGCTCAGGCTGTGGGAGCGCGTGTGCATCAGATGAAAGCTGTGCTGCCTGGATGCGGCCCTGCACCAGGACAGACCCAAATGTTGTGAAATTTAAAATTGTCATCCAGTTGCTGTGTCTAGTGCCAGTCTGGGTTTGACCATCGCTGCGTTGCTGCAGTCGTCGTCTCTACCCCCAAATTTGCAATTTATGTTTTTCCATGTGCTCGATACTGAGCAAATGTTCTTCCTTTCTCCAGCGATGTTACGGACCCTGCAGTATTGTAGCACTTGGCTTGTGGGGGTGTTTATTCTTATAGCACTTGGAGTGGTCTCATCTCCATTTTATAGGTGGAGAAACTAAGGCACAGAAAACTTAAGTGGCTTGTTGGGTGTCTCCCAGCTTGCAAGCTGGAGTCCAGTGCGATCTGTTGACTCATGTCTGGATCACTGCTGTGCTCTGGGTGCCTGTACAAACTGAGCCTCTGACTTTCTTTGCAGCCCTGGAGAGGCTGTCTTTGTCACCTCCCACCCACCTGGAAAATCTGATATGAAATCCTGCGTGTCGATGGAATCCTTCGGGCAGGTTGGCCCCCGCAGTTGCTCCTTTGCTCTTGCAGCGGTGCACCCAGCGGTGCGGGGTGCCTCCGGGTGCCGATGGCTTCGCTGGCACGTGGGGAAGCTGTGCGGTCTCCGCTCCCTTGCGTGACCCCCGTTGTGTTAAGCCTGATTACGTAACCTGTAGATCGTTTTCTCTCTTTCCTGATCAGCTGCTTCCCTCCGAACGCCGGAGAGGGAACTGCTCCCCTCTGCTGCGTCACAGGAAGAGTGACAGAGAGAGGGGTGGTGGAAGGGATAAAGGTTAAAAGATTGAAGCGGTCTGGGAAGTGCCACTGCTTCAGGGAGATCTGCGTGAGTGCCAGAGGCTCTTTGCAGCTTTCTCCTGCTGGGTTTTGGGCTGCAGCACTGCAAAAAGTCAAACAGCAGCAGCTGCGCTAGGCGAGTCATAAGCAAGCCCGAAATCTGTTAATTCCTTCACTAAGACAGCATGGAGGATTCTGCAGAGCAGAGTCAGGAAATGAGGTACCACATGCTGCAAAGGTAAGAATTACAGATATGATTGTCTCCTGGGACTGAGGCAGTTGGGCACTCTGTGCTAGAAATGCATGCTGATATTTTTCCCTGTTAATTTTATGCTCTGAAACCTTGCCGGTTACTGCGAGGTATCTGTGCGTGCAGTCAGTGAGAAAGATGCTGGAATACATCTTAGCTGGGGATTTGTGTTAGAGTTTGAGATTCTACACGACACCCAACCTCTGCAAACTGAAGGATAGATGAGCATTTTGAAAGTTCCTCTGTAACAAAGCACTGCAGTTGTGACCTGGTGATTAATAGGGATGACTTTTACTAACTCAGCGTTTATTCTGTTTTGTTCAGAGCTCGGTGTTCTTTCCTCCTTGCTGCACAACTTCTACCTCATCTTACTCTGCAAAAGGAAAAAATCTCTTCTGTTTTGATTATGATGTGCAGCCTGAGGTTATTAGTAAATAAACTTAATATTCTTAGTGTGTTTACAGTCACAAATTGAACAGGACTGTACTTGCTTATAAACAAGTGTTTGTGCATTATTCTGGAAGATAAACCTCTGGTTTTGTTGACATGTTATCATCTGTAGCAATATCTTTATGTGAGTAGTAATTTCAGCTTGGCAGGATAGTTTATATTCGTACATGTTCGCAGATTGTGACCCCAAGATTTTTATCTTTTTTTAGTTGAGACTGTTGTCAATAAAACTGCAATGAATAAACCTGTCTCACTTGTTGGACTGTGCTCCTTTCCTGCCATGCTATAGATTCTGACCCTCTTTAAATGCACAAATTTAGTAGAACTTCAACCTTAACTACACCTTTCCTCTTTTTTTTTTTTTTGGCTGTTGGCTCCTGTCCTTGAACTCCTGGGCTGAGGTTATCACAGAGCAGTTTGTGAACTCTTGCTGATAGACACAAGTTGTAAGTTTGATGATGATGTCTATCCCTGAAGGTGCAGCCCACTGGAAAAAGGGAAAGTGTGCAGCAGAAGAACCTCCACACGCTTTGCTCGTTTTTATGCCCTTCCCTGGGTATCAGCTAGCAGCTCTTCTTTGGGACAGGTCACTAGATGCGATGTACTTTGGTCTGACCTAGTACAGCCGTTTATATGTCCCAGAATATCACTGGGAGATAGGCATCTGTTTTTTTAGCATGCTTTAAAGTCATCCTATTTGTCCTGTTTCTCCTGTTACCTTTACTTCTCTCACTCTTGACCTCATTGATTGCTTCAAAGTCTCTTTCACTGTGCTTAGAACAGGTTTTCAACTTCCAGTTAAGCTCAACATTTGCAAGACTGTAACTTGAAGATCCCCAGCATGGCCATTTGTCATGGGAATATCTCATGAGTGGGAGAGAAAGATTGATGTGTTAATGCAGGACACAGGATCTGAATTTCAAGTGCTGTAAATACGCTTGCTTGCTGTTCTGGAAATCCTCACAAAGTCAAGGTGGTGCTGCAGTAGGATGTCAGAAGTAGATGGTGTGCACAAAGGCGGAGAGGCAGAGAAGGATCCATGCTGTCCTGTGTGTGGTGGATAAACATGTCTTTGTGGTCAGATCTGGTCACTGATCTTGCCTTGCCCGAAAGGTTGCCTTTCTTTCTTGGTTGGTTATACCAAGATTTGGCGTGTACCTTTTTGAATAGGTTGTGCTGGATGATATGTGTCAAGATCCTTTTGGGAATGTGTACTGCAAGCACAGCGTAAACTGATTTCACACCATGATCCTTCATAGGGATGATGGGTAAGAGAAGAATCTGGATTTAAACCAGATACTAGCTACAGTTTGTTCAGGGTTTCTTTCATCAGCAAATTTTTTAGTCAAAATAGTGGTCTGTGGTGTTACTGTGCTCCTGATGAAGAGTTAAGGAGGGTCTGTGTTCCAGATGGGTAGGTCTTTATAGGCCATGACGTATTTATGAGGGAACATGAGGAGAAATCTGTGTTTTTCCTCTCGAGCTGTCACCAGACACCTCTAAGAGCAGCTCGTTCAAGCCAGGGTGCTCCAGACCTCACAGGTACAGCTCTCGGGCCACCTGCCCTTGGTGGCTGTGTTTAAAAGGAGACCTCGAGATGTTGGATTTGACTTGGCTTGTCCTTGGCTTGGTTTTCCCTTTGTGCCCTCCCCTAGCAATTCCAGTTGCTTTCTGCCACATCCCATCCCATTTCCCAGTGGAGTTGCTCAATGGTATCAGCACTGCAGCAGCTGATCAGGCCAGAGGTTGCTGATGGGCTTCACGTGGCCGAAGGGCAGCTGGGAGGGACGCGTGGCTCCTGGGGACAGGCGCTGCTGGTTACACAGCTGACCAGTGGCACTGACCCCCTTGGTTGCAGTTGGGCCTCTCCAAAGCCTTGAGTAGTTTTTCAAATACCCTCCCAATATTCATCTCCCCGTCCTGCAGAAAGGTTCTGTAGTCCTGCCTGGTGGCAGGGGTAGGGACTTCAGTGTGTTTGTAGGAAAGGAACCTGTGAAGAAAAGCACACGAAATACCCCACAGTTCAGTCATTTTTCTTACTGTTACCTGAGTAAGAAGCTTCAGGGGCTTTAAAATAAAAAGTACGTTGTTATTGCCGCAGTCGTGCTGCGCTGCGGTAGACACGTGGTGCAAAGAGCAGGTCTTTGCTTTTCTGTTGAGTTTCCTCTCACCATTTCAGCTTTGTACATTTTAGCGAATCAAATCCTGCAGTGTTTGCAAAGGCAAAGGGTGATTTTTTTTTCCATGTGTCGCTTCTGAGAAGGCTGAAGCATAAGGAAGGGAAGCGACGGCCCCATTCCCACGCGGAGGGATGATGGCAGAGCGCGGGGTTGACGTTATCAGGCACAAAATTGACTTTCACTGCTTGGAGTGGAAGTAACGGGATCAATTTGTCTTCCAGCTCTTGGAACTTTTGAGACTGGATGGTGGAAGGTTCTTGTAAAATGATAACAGAGTCTCTCATTTACACCTGGAGACTTATTTGCTGTTGTTCCCAAATAGGATTTCTTTATGGAATCTGATCTTAGGAGCTTGTTTCACCGAAGCCAGAAAACATTGTTGTAGTTTCCCAGCTTTCCTAGATGAATCGAAAGTGATGTGGCAGCGTGTTGTTCTGTGTTGGGCAGCAATATACAGTGAACATATTTTTACCTATTTATATATTAACATAACCAGAATTTCTCCAGATAACCTGGCTTTTGCAGAGAGATAAGAAAGGTATTTAAAACACAGTCATCTCTGAAGTCCAGGCCATGGTGGTCTGGAGGCAAGGAGTGATTCTGCCTGTCTGCGTGGGGAACTTTACACATTATTCACATGTCCTCTTCTATTTGTGTACATCTGCACTGCCAAGTTGCGTTTTCCTGTCTCTCTCAAATTTCCTTAGGCCCAGCATGTCTGGTTTACACCTTGTAAAGCAAGGCCGGGACAGGAAGAAAGTTGATGTGCAGCGGGATTTCACTGTGGCTTCTCCAGCAGAATTTGTTACTCGTTTTGGAGGGAATAAAGTTATTGAAAAGGTAAGTTACTGACCTTTTTGACTTTAGTGTCTTGCATTTTGTTCCCTACTCTTTGTTCCCTGCAATGTACAACCTTCTTTCTATACAAGACTGTGCATTGCAGATATCCAAACACTAATATTCCTGAGCCTCAAAGTTGTACTTGTGCCCATAATCATCGTTTTTCTATTTTAGTTTATATGTGATAAATAAACATCCCATTGTTTTAGCTTAAGTGTGACAGGAAAAAACTTTTGAGTGAGCTAGAGCACTTCTGCTGATACAGAAGGATTTATAGACAGAGACAACAAAAGTAGACTGGAAAAAACAGTAAGAACTGTATTTAAAAATACATAATCATTTAATGGATGAGGCATTTTCTTTTCAGGTATCAAAAGTTTTAGCCACTCGCTATGTGTATGCTTGTGTACCCTTCTGCTCTTTGATCCAACAAAGCACAATTAAAATCTTCATGGTCGAGCAAGAGCTGATTTCTGAATTGACTGATGGGCCAGTAAATGCTCTTGCTGAATCGAGTGCTGGCTAGCAAAACTGCATAGCCTCAAAACTGGGCGAAGAGTCTGCAGAGAAAAAACTGTTTTCATTATCGTTCCGTGTTTTGTGCTGTTCAGACTCTGTTTCATCCCGCTTCTGATGCACTCAGGTCCTGATAGCAAACAATGGCATTGCAGCAGTGAAGTGCATGAGGTCCATCCGGCGCTGGTCCTACGAGATGTTTCGAAATGAGCGGGCAATCCGGTTTGTGGTCATGGTGACTCCCGAGGATCTGAAAGCGAATGCAGGTGAGTGGTGAAGACTAGTGAAGGTGCACAGCCTTCTCCTTGCACAGACCTGTGTGCCCACGAGGATGCAAGAAGTCAAATATATGCCCACCACATCACCTACCATCCTGTCATGTACCAGATTTTTCTGGGAGGAGGTTGAGTACTTCCAGTACTGTAGATTTAGGGAGTTTTAGACCAAGTACCATTTATTAGGTTTGCAATCTAAATGAGACCTTCTTTGTGTTTGCAGAGTATATTAAAATGGCAGATCACTACGTCCCAGTTCCAGGAGGACCCAACAACAACAACTATGCAAATGTGGAACTCATTCTTGATATTGCGAAGCGGATTCCAGTGCAGGTGAGAAGTGTCAAAAGTAGTTTTCAAAACAAGGGGTAACGCAGAGCAATCTTCTCTCCTTAAATAAC